AAATAAGTTCTGGCATTTAATTTAACTTCTTCAGTTCAAATGGTTTCACACGTCTGCAACCAATTCGAAGAAGAAAATTTTGCCAAGCCTTGAAGATACTCGGTAGCAAGTTATTTTTTCTCAAAAAACAACTTCATTCATGGGTTGTGCGTGTCACTGCTTTGAGCAGCGTTTATTGTCATTCCCAAGTTGTGCTTGAGAAGGTGACCTACTCACTCTTTTTGTGAAGGCATTTGTTCTCTTCCATCATTGATGATGAGGATATTTGTTTAGCCTCCTCCTCCAATGAGTTCTTGAATTGCCCACCACCATTCAGGTCTGGATGTGGCAGGACTTAGATGTGATTCATTAGTTGTGGGATCACTTTGCTCTGTCTATCCCTTACTGCTTATGCTGTTTGATGGGATTGGCTGAGTGGGAGATATTCCAGACCATGAGGTTGCGAATTGTGCTGTTTGCACATCATTTAAGCAATAATAATTCCTTCAAGATTGAATTCGCATTACCTCCTTACAGTGGCAAGATTGAAGGCTCGGTCCCCAGACCATCACCCGAGTCTGTGGAATAACAGTCCATTCACAGTGCCACAAAACCATCAAATCCCCTCCAGCCTGGAATGGTCATCAAACATCTAATTTAATCTCTGTTTTCAGCACTTGTTCTGAAACCAAGGATGTTTTGTCATTTCAAACTCTCATATAAGTCCTTTTTAAATATCTTCAGGCGTTATTCTGTTACCAGCCATTTAGACAGTGAGTTATAGATATCCACAACCTGTCAGTGAGAGCAGTTTTCCTACAATTCTCTAAATTTCCTGCTCTTTATCTTAAATCTATGTCTTCAGGTCATCGAACCCTATACGAAGGGGAAATCTCCATGTCAATCTCGTAGACATCCCTCGTTACTTTGTGCATGCAAATCAGAACCTTTGGACTTCTCTGCTTTAAGGGAAACTATGGAATAACACTGCCAATGGTAAGGCTTTTGGGAATGTTGTTGGACAGCGATACTTAAGAGTGCAAGTACATAGTTTTTTTGAAAGTTGCATCCAAGGTAGACAGGGTGGTAAAGAAGGCGTTTGTCACGCAATCTTCATTGCTCAGAATTGGAAGGTCATGGTTGCCATTGTACAGGACATTAGTGGCGCGACTTTTGGAGTACAGTGTACAGTTCCGGTCTACCTGCTGTGGGAAGGATATGATTAAATTGGAGAGGATGTTTAAAAACATTGCAAGGATGTCACTAGGACTAGAGGGTTTTAGTTAGGAGAGGCTGGGTAGGCTTTTTTTCCTGGAAAGAAAAAGTTTGAGGGTTGACCTCAAAGAGGGTTATAAAATCATGAGGGACATAGATAAGGTGAGAAGCTTAGGTCTTTTCCCTGAAGTAGGCCAGTTCAAACCTGGAGGCCATTTGTTTAAAGAGACAGTGGAAAGATTTCAAAGTGACCTGAGAGGCATCTGTTTCATACAGAGGGCGGTGGGTATGTGGAATAGCGTGGATTTGTGGAATTAACTGCCAGAGGAGGTGGTCGAGGCAGGTAATGTTACACCATTTAAAAGACATTTGTACAGATACATGAACAGGAAAGGCTGAGAGGGATATTGGCCAAGTGCAGACTAATAATACAGGTTTATCTTGGGAAATGTGACGGGCATGTATGACTTGGACTGAACAGTCTATTTCTGTGCTGTATGACTTGACGACTCTATGACTTAGCAACCCCATAGGCCAGCATATCCTGTAATATATCATTACTGCTAACCCAGGAGATGCTGCGTAAAATTACTGACACGTCCGTTTCACATACGTGTTGGCTGTTGTATCTCGGATTGTATTCAAAGTAAATTTTTCACGACATTTACCTGGAAAATGCACGTTGTAGTAATGCATCGGTTTCAAATATTAAATGCTATACATCTTTAGAAAAATGTATTTCACTCTGAGTTTTTCTGCAGACACTTTTTTTTATGAGTATCTGATTTAACATTGAATGCAAACATCCTGGTAAACTCTGTAAAATCTGATTGACCCGTTCTGAGGAATGTTCGCTCGATGCAAAATGTTAACTCTGATGTTGCTCCACAGATGCTGCCTGACCTGTTCAGCTTTTCCAACAATTTCTATTTTTGCCCTGGTAAACCCTCAATGATAACTCTTCAGTCAGACGTGTTTAATGAGGTAGATGAGTCCTTGTCCCAGTCACATCGATCAGTGGATTGCTTCTCCCACACAGGATGACGTTCGGCTCAAATCACATTCACATTCAATTGCCACAATAGGATCTATACCCCTGACCTAAAATCGACCTCAGTCGTCCTAGTAAATTAATATTGCTCATGGGTCAAATCACATAACATCACAGCTGATGTTTTGGAAATTTATTTTCTGGTCTTCAATTCAGAAGAACAATACACTAATATGCGTTTCTTAACACAAGAGTCCCCAAGTTCTGCCTGGTGGAACAGTGATCATGTAATTGAGCTAGGAATAGAAACGTAGAAACATAGAAGAAACGAGCAGGAGGAGGCCATTCGGTCCTTCATCACGATCATGGCTGATGGTACAACTCAATAGACTGTACATGTTTTCTCCCCATGACCTTTGATCCCATTCGCCCAAAGTGCTCGATCTAGACACCTCCTGAATGCATTAAAAGAGAACAGCTGAACAGTTTGCAGAAATACACTAAAATTCAATCAAATGTAGATGGTAAAACTTGAATTCAGTAAAATCTAAATCAAAAGTCAAGCTTCACGTTGCCCACATAATCATTGGCTCGGGACCCTTTCTGGTTCACTCATAAACTTTAGAAAAGGGAATGTGCCATCTTTACCAGGTCTGGCCAACTCATGACTCCAGACAAACAGTAATGTGCTTGAGTCTTATCAGCCCTCTCAAATGGCTTGAGTGAACTTCTCGGGTTGTCTCATACTTAGTTTTTTAAAGATGGGTAGGAAATGCTGGCCGATTCAGTGACACTGACATCTCATGAATACAATAAACCCCTAATTAAACTTGCTGAAGTGGGGTCTTGCCATTGACTGATTTTCAGTTTGGGACGTCTGGATTTTTGTTGCCGACGGAGGTTTTGTGATGCTCTGCTCTCCTGTGAACGTGAATGGAAATTTTATTGAAGGTGTTGAGGTCACGGTGTCATTATAATGTAGTAGTAGGAAAATTGCTATGGAAAATCTTTAAGAAGTGGCTGCATGATTTCTACTTTTAGAATCTATTTGGGTAACAAACTCCATACATGACCACTCACAACTCGACGCTCACCACAAATCTCTTCCTCAAAACCTGAAATATGTATCTACTTAGTCCTTGTACTATCTGATCATGAGAATGGGTTTGTTTTATCTCACCTCATAATCTTGCACACTGCTTTAAAAACTCTGCTCAAGCTTTTTCATTTCAGGATAATCAATTGCAACCACATCAAACGAACCTTGCAGATAAAATCTCTCAATGCTGGAACGAGATTTCAGTGTCCCTCCTACACCAATCGCTGAAAGTGTACATGCAGCTGCAGCATGAGGTGAAGAAGACAAATAGAATGTTGACCTTCAGAGCAAGAGGGCTGGAGTACACGGGCAGGGATGTCTTGCTACAATTGTAAAGGGCCTTGGTGAGACCACACCGTGAATATCCTGTGCAGTTTATTCTCCTTATCTGATAAATGATGTTGTGGTTGTGGAGAGAGTGCAACGATAGTTTACCAGACTGATTCCTGGGGGAAAAGGACTGATGCATGAAGTGAGAATGGGTCTTTTAGGATTATATTCACCATAGCGGAGAAAAATGTTTTGATGTATATTTCATCGAAATTGGAGAAATTCAAACATGATTAGACAGGGCAAACACAGGGAGGATGATGTCATGATGGGGGCCTCCAGAACAAGGGGGTCACAGTTGAATGATACGGAGTAGGGAACTTAGGACTGACATAAGCAGAAATGTCTTTACACAGAGAGTGGTGGGCTTGTGGAATTCTCTGCCACACAAGGCAGTTAATGTCACAAAATTGAATGTCTTCAAGAGTGAGTTAGATATTGTTCTTTGGGCTGAAGGGAACAAAGTGTATGGGTGAGAGTGTGGGAACACGCCACTGAGTTCAATGGTCAGCCATAATCATGTTATTTGGCGGAGGAGACTTGAAGTTCTGAAAAGCCTATTTGTGCTTCTGTTAACTAGTATTTAAGGTCGAGTAGCATGCAGAGCAAGAGTGACTGAATAGCTCAATTCATAGATTCTAGCTCCTGTTTCCTCATTCTCAATGGTGTGAGTGTGGGGGAGAGGGAAAACATAATTAAGGCACAATTAACATTGTTTGTCACCTCCTTCAGAATGTTGCAAATGTAATGTCCAAAAAGATGGAATGTCGCCATTCACGAATATGTCAAATTTCCCACTAACACAATTCGGGACGAAAATTAAAGTATCCCCTTGATATAACTGCTCACATGAATTCATTTTTACGTGGCTCGGCACAATAGATTGGAGTTGAGCTTACAACATTCATGAACGTACAAACATACAAAGTCGAAACAGAAGTATACTATTATCCCTAAGCCTACTTAGTCATTTGATCAGATCATGGCACATTTATTGACGTTTCAGTTTCTGCGTTCCCGATTTTACTTTCATTTCCTTTAATATCAAGAATCTATCGACCTTCAACGTAAAAATATTCAACGACAGACCCCCATACAACAACCACTTTTTGGTGGCAGATCCAAACTTGCACATCGCTCAGAGAAAACAAAACTTCTCCCCATCTCATATCATGGCAAGCACTTATTCTAAAACAGCGACACCCCCATGATTCTTCAGTATCCGCAGACCTACAAGAGAAAACATTCTTTCCATGTGCAGTTAAAACTGTTTAGGATCTTACATGCTTAGACGCATTAGACATCGGCTCAGACTGAAGACTGTGATGCTGATAACTTATTTCTTTGCCCCGTGGCGATTGTAGATGTTGGAATATGAAATGAAATTTAATTCACGTGTTTCAAACTCTTCAAAATGTTCCATGATTTAATAATTTGCTTGAAGGGGTATGTCATTGCATTCTTCAGCTCTTTCCTGAATTTAGCCTGGCTCACAGCATATATACACGTGTTGGTGCAGGAGCTGAGCACTTGCAGCATTTTCGCTGTGTGATCTGTGATGAAGTAAGGGTCTGTATCGGAGTAGTCATAATGTTGGATATCTGAAATTCGTCCATAAATAGTGAACACAAGCTTGGTCCCCCACAAAAGCACAAAACTGCCCGATATACTGAACAGCAAAGTGATGGACGTCCGCCGGTTTTGTAACTCCACATCTTTTTGCTTCTTTCCACTTCTTTGGCCACGGAGACCCCTACGGATTTGACTGCTCACTAAAATACGTCTGACAGTCAGCACATTGAACAGCAAGATCAGAAAGAATGGCACACAAGGGGTTAAAATGTAGTTGATGATTTCAAATGCAGCCCATGCAGGGGAAGTGTAATAACTCGATACACTCTTGCAACCCCATGGAATATTGTCAATGAAGTATTTTGGTTGATATACAAAATACCAGGGTAGAGATTCCAGGCAGCCCAGCACGGTCACCGTCGCTAGAAATGTCGCTGCAGTTCTCTCAGTGCCAAATTTTGTTTTCAATCTCTCACAGCAAATGGCCACAAATCGGTCAAAAGTGAATGTGACTGTGAGCCAGACAGAAATCACTGTGGCTGCTAACGCCAAGGCAGAAACAATACTGCACACGGGAGTAATTTTCAGGAATGAATTTGGTAAATAAATTGAAAAAGTGTATCGCAACATGGCATCAAAGATGACGACAAGGAGATCAGCAACTGCCATTCCAATCAAGTAACGAGTTACGGAAGTAGAGAGACCACACTTTCCTCGTGACAGGATTATTATTGCCACCAAGTTAACTGTGAGGGAAGAGATTGAAGTAGAAGTAAATATTTTCAGATCCTGTCCTGAATCAAACAACATTGCAACAGAACTAGGGCAAAATGTCCAGCTTTGATTTTGCAAGACAGATGTAGACTGACATATAACATGCTTTCCAATAATAACGCACTCGAAACACAATTGCTAACAGTGTATTTTGGACTCCATAGCACAAGCAAATAAAGTAAGCAAAGGAGGTTAATACTCCATCATTAAGGGTAAAATAAATTTCCTGGAGGTTAGAAGGAGCAGATATATTAGCAGCATTTAATGAATAGAAAAGGTCTTTGTTCAAAACACACAGTGGTAACTCATGACAGTTAAACAGCAAAATTATCACCAGTTTGCTTCAGGAACACTTGCAATAACAGCTTACCAGGAACACCAATGGCTGAAATAAGAGGATAGAAAACATCTTCTATTTTCCAGACAATTGGATATGCCATTTCTGAGATTAGCAATTTCAGTTGTTCTTTGTCTCAGACTACTGGCAGGAACTGTGAACTGATCCATTCCAATCGATCCGAATTATATAGAGTGTAAGCCTCCCGTGATACAGTTACACCTGACATCGCTGTTAGTAACATTACCTTGCACAAACACATTACCTCAACAGGTTTGACTATGATGTGATTACTATGGTGGGCAAAACACAACCATCTCAAACTTCAGGAGACAGCAATAGTTCCACCATTATGCAATGAAGCCAAAAGTGCATGCAGAAAAGAAAAATTCCATAAATAATGAATAGATTCATTTGGATTCTTTTTCAGTAAACCATGGACCTTGTTGTTTCAGTTAACTTAATTGTTGCTGCTCTGGAAGCTGCACAGAATCCAGAAACACAGAATCATTCTGGTTCTGCCGATTCCCAGATAAAAATACAATCTTCAATAATCTGAGCCATGTCTGTCTGTCCATTTGAGTTAGTCGGATCCCTAGAGTTCAGTGTCTGACAGCCAGTTGGTGAAGGCAAAGTTTTGAAGTCAATGTTTACTCAGTTTACGATTTACTTGTCAGGTGGAGAATTGCATCTGTACATATCCTAACTCTGAAACCCAACTCCAGTGCCAGTACATGGTGCATTTTGCAATGAGGCAATTAATGCCCACTTCTCTAACCCCAACCCGAAATCCTAACCCTAATCCAAACTACAACCCAACCTTATATTGAAGTGTATTTTATACAATTTGGAGTATGTTCTTTCTTTCTGTGCCTCTTCATTAAGATATTGGTATTTTGTTTCAACGTAGTCTAAGAGGCAAGGTTTTGGCATTTTGTTTCAAATTCGCTTGTGGGAATTGGGCACCACTGACTTTTTCAACATTTGTCGTCATCCCAGAATGCCAGTTGAGGAGCAGCTGGTGAGCTGCTAACGTGCAATTCTGCTGTCTATGTGCTGCAGATAGACCCACAATATCATAATGGGCAGTAACATGGAATTTCGACCAAGGAACTCTTAAGGGATGAGATTCATTATGGTAACTCAATTGAATGGTAACACGTCAAGGGGCAGTGGATAGTTGTCCTACTATTGGAGGTGGTCATTGTCTGCCATGTAGTGTAAATTTCACTTCCCATACCTTAGCCTAAGCCTCAACATTGTCCAGGAGATCTACAAGGACTGCTTTGGTTTCTGAGGAGTCGTGAATGATGCTGAACATTGTGCAATCATCATCAAGCATCCCAATTCTGATGTGATGATAGAGGTAATTTCATTGATGAAGCAGCTGGAGATGGTTGGGTGCAGAAAATTCCCCCGCAGAACTCCTGTGGAGTTGAGATGATTGACCTCCAAAAGCCTAAACTAACTTCTTACGTGTCAGGTATGACTCCAACTAGCCATTGATTGCAGTCTTGGTATTTGACATCACACACGTCCAATATGACTTTCATATCATGGGTAGTCATTCTCGCCTCACTCTCCAGTTGTTCAATTCAATAGATTTGTCCATTTTTGTACCAAGGCTGTAATGCGGTCAAGAGCTCAGTGGCCCTGGCGGAACCTATGCAACTGAGCAGTTTAGTGCTAAGTTGATGCTTCTTGATAGCACTCTTTTTTGAAACCGTCAGTCACTGTACGATGATCAAGAGTAGACTGATGGGTCTGTAATAGGCCAAGTTAGATTTGCCAAATTCCATTGTATGGGAAATACCTGAGCAATTTTCCACATTGTTGGGTAGGTGCCTGTATTGCAACATTATAGGAAAGCATGTCTGTGATGCAGCGTGCTCTGGACAACAAGGCTTCAATACTGAGTTAACAAGGTGTAGAGCTGGATGAACACAGCAGGCCAAGCAGCATCAGAGGAGCAGGAAAGCTGACGTTTCGGGCCTAGACCCTTCCTCAGAAATGGAGGAGGGGAAGGAGGTTCTGAAATAAATAAGGAGAGAGGGGGAGGCGGATAGAAAATGGATAGAAGAGAAGACAGGTGGAGAGGAGACAGACAGGTCAAAGAGGCGGGGATGGAGACAGTAAAGGTGAGTGCAGGTGGGGAGTTAGGGAGGAGATAGGTCAGTCCAGGGAGGACGGACAGGTCAAGGGGGCAGGATGAGGTTAGTAGGTAGGAGATGGGAATGGGGCTTTTGGTGGGACGAGCGGATAGGTGGGAGGAAGGACAGGTTAGGGAGGCAGGGACAAGCTGGGCTGGTTTTGGGATGCGGTAGGGGGAGGGGAGATTTTGAAACTTGTGAAGTCCACATTGATACCACTGGGCTGCAGGGTTCCCAAGTGGAATATGAGTTGCTGTTCCTGCAACCTTCGGTTGGCATCGCTGTGGCACTGCAGGAGCGCCAGGATGGACATGTCGTCTGAGGAATGGGAGGGGGAGTTGAAATAGTTCACGACTGGGAAGTGCAGATGTTTAGTGCGAACCGAGCATAGGTGTTCTGCAAAGCAATCCCCAAGCCTCCACTTGGTTTCCCCGATGTAGAGGAGGCCACAATGGGTACAGCGGATGCAGTATACCACATTAGCAGATGTGCAGGTGAACATCTGCTTGATGTGGAAAGTCTTCTTGGGGCCTGGGATGGGGGTGAAGGAGGAGGTGTGGGGGCAGATGTAGCATTTCCTGCGGTTGCAGGGAAAAGTGCCGGGTGTGGTGGGCTGGAGGGGAGTGTGGAGCGGGCAAGGGAGTCACGGAGAGAGTGGTCCCTCCGGAAAGCAGATAAGGGTGGGGAGGGAAAATGTCTTTGGTGGTGGGGTTGGATTACAGATGGTGGAAGTGTCGGAGGATGATGCGTTGGATCCGGAGGTTGGTGGGGTGGTACATGAGGACGAGGGGGATTCTGTTTTGGTAGTTATTGCAGGGAGGGGGTGAGAGGGATGAGTTGCGGGAAATGTGGGAGACACGATCGAGGGCGTTCTCGACCACTGAGGTGGGGAAGTTGCGGTCCTTGAAAAACGAGGACATCTGAGATGTACGGGAGTGGAATGCCTCATCCTGGGAGCAGATGCGGCGGAGGCGAAGGAATTGGGAATAGGGCATGGCATTTTTGCAGGAAGGTGGGTGGGAGGAGTTGTATTCTAGGTAGCTGTGGGAGTTGGTGGGTTTGAAATGGATACCGGTTTCTACCTTATACTATCATCCATATGCCTATCTAATAGCAGCTTAAATGCCCCAATGAGGCCGACTCCACTACCCTCTCTGGCAATACATTTCACGCCCCTACCACTCTCTGAGTAAAGAACCTACCTCTGACGTCTCCCCGATATCTACCTCCTTTCACTTTAAAATTATGTCTCCTCATAAAAGCTACCTCCACCCGAGGAAAAAGTCTCTAGCTGTCTACTCTATCTATACCTCTGATCATTTTGTACACCTCTATCAAGTCACCTCTTATCCTTCGTCGTTCTAAAGGGAAAAGCCCCAGCTCTCTCAACCTTTCCTCGTAAGACTTTCCCTCCATTCCATGCAACATCCTGGTAAATCTCCTCTGCACCTTTTCTAATGCTTCCACATCTTTCCTGTAATGAGGTGACCAGAACTGGACTCAATACTCCAGAGGTGGCCGAACCAGGCTTTTGTGTAGCTGGAGCATAACTTCACAACTCTTGAACTCAATCCCTCTACTACTAAAAGCTAACACACCATACACCTTCTTAACAACTCTATCCACCTGGGTGGCAGCTTTCAGGGAACTGTGGACATGAACCCCAAGATCCCTCTGCTCCTCCACACTGCCAAGAATCTTTCCGTTAACCCTGTATTCCGCTTTCAAATTTGTCCTTCCAAAATGAATCACCTCACACTTTTCCGGGTTAAACTCCATCTGCCACTTCTCAGCCCAGCTCTGCATCCTATCAATGTCTCTTGGTAACCTAGAACAGCCCTCCGCACTGTCCACAACATGACACACCTTCGTATCATCTACGAACTTACTAACCCACCCTTCCACTCCTTCATCCAAATCATTTACAAAAATCACAAATCGAAGAGGATCCAGAACAGATCCTTGTGGTACACCACTCGTAACTGAGCACCATGTTGAATATTTTCCATCCACTACCACCCTTTGCCGCCTAAGGGTCAGCCAATTCTGAATCCAATCTGCCACATTTCCCCCTATCCCATGCCTCCTTACCTTTTGCATGAGCCTCCCATGGGGAACCTTATCAAACGCCCTACTTAAATCCATGTATACCACATCCACTGCTCCACCTTCATCCACGTGTTTGGTCACCTCTTCAAAGAATTCAATAAGGTTTGTGAGGCATGATCTACCCCTCACAAATCCATGCTGACTATCACGATGTATATAAACAAAGGGCAATTGTCGATGGCTGCATTTGCAAATGGTTAGCTGCATAGAAAGTATTCCACAGGCTCAGTGTTAGGTTTCAAGGATAGTTTTATAGTGTCTTTAAAGTGTTTTCACTGTCTTTCACTGGAAGTAAAAATGCTTGTATCTTCAAACAGTTTGTGAGAGAGAGAGGATGTGTGGTCTTTTCCCACGGAGTTTCATGCAACACTTTGTGATTAGGTTCAAGACAGAAGCAGATGAAGGCAAAGACCAGCGCTGTTTGGAATTAGACACTAACGATTAGCTTAGACAAAGAATTCCTTTCATAAAAAGAAACGAGACTGAGGCATGGTGGTTTTGTCAGGCAGAAGATAGAATGCAGTGTTGCTCATGAAGGATTTGTTTCAGCTCCCTAATATTTAGTAGAGTTCAAAGCAGCTTATAAAGTTTCTGCTGATAACTTACAATTATTGACGACAAATTCTAGAGGAATGCTGAAGTGATGTTGATTTATGCTCATATAATTGAGGAAATGGATAAATTTCCGTATGGAATGCCAAAAAAAGATTTGAGCAGGTAATTGAGAACTGGAATTGACATGGTGATGTCCAAAAACTAGGGGTGTAGGAAAAGGCAGAACAACGTTTTGGAATGGCTAACACTGCACACCTTCAACATCAATGCAGTGAAAGGTTTGCTCTAA